TTATTCTACTTCCTTCACAAATCAAAATCTTTATGCAGGGGCATGATGACACCGTCATGGGCAAACAGGAACAAATGGAAATGATACCACACATAGATGCTACGGCCTTCCCCTGAAACAACGCCGGTATTACTGTACAAAACCACAGCAGAAGAAAAACACTGAATAGCTGCATCGCTCCTTCCCACACACACACACACACACACACACACGCAGAAACACAAGCACGGTGAATCACTCCTGTTTTCTGTGATGGAAAAAAGACGCCTCTCATTTGTTCCAGAAACCTATCGAGAGCGGCTCTACCTCCAAACCCATCCTCCGACTGGCAACCACAGGGCCAACTCAGAACCCTCTAACCTGGTTACAGCCTCTCTCCTCCACTTCCACTTCCTCAGCCCGTCTTTCTCTAACAGTCAAATTCAACTTCCTCAGCCCGTCTTTCTCTAACAGCTCACAGTCGTTCCTGTTTTCTTTAACCCAGACAAAGAAATGCAATCATTTATGTGGATTTTAAGTCAATGCTGCTCATCTGAAATCCAGGCAATTACAGCAAAAACATGAGGAAGTAAAGTACAGCAACTGAGAGTGATTTGATACGTGAGAAAGGGAAGAAACAGGGAGAACGGGTGTAAAAAGAGAGAGAGAATAACTTTAACATACTACACTGATAATGGCGATAACAGTCCTCCTTTAATTAGCTATACAGACGGGATCAGCAAGGAGATTAAGGCTACAGTCTCCATGTAAAACTGTAGAAAAGGTTGTGAAAAATTAGCAGCCAACAAGCAGTTCAGTCAAAACCAGATGTTGCCGTGCTTACTACTCCCATTTCCATCTTAACTCAACCTAATTTTGTTTGTGTGTTCAGTCTCTGTAATAAACTGAAACAACAAGATATGACACAACTTCCGGCAAAGCTCCCTGCATTCACCCAAACATTTGTCACAGACACCGAAACGTCTCTCGCTGTGCTACATTTTTGCCTTTAGTCTCATGCAGAGTAGTTTCTGTTTCTAACAATTACTGTTTGCTTGTTTTTACTGCAAAGAACAAATTCCCTCAAGAGCACCAGAATCCATTTCAGTTTCAAGACAGACTATTATTACTGCTACTTTGTATTTGTTAGCATAACATAAGCTCTTCTAATCCCAACCCAATCCTAAAACTGTCCTTTTCCCTATGAGGACTGGCCAGAACGGCCTTACACAGTCCACTGAAGTAGTGTTGACACAATAAGTCGATTAATCAACTTGTCAACTTTGATTAACAATTCATTACGCCTATGTCATTTGTCAAGTACAAATGATAAATATTCTGGTGCTGGTAAAATTTTGTTGCTTTTTCTTACTAGGTTGCTCAAAACTAGCAATTTGAACATGTCATCTTGGGTTGTCAGAGCCTGTGACAGGCATTTCTCACAATGTGCTTACATCTGTATCAACTACAAAATGATTAATACATCAGTCACAAAAATTATCATGTGTTCAAACATGACTGCTCTTTGCTGTAGGGTAAATACCTGATCAGATAAATGCACCTGATAATAACACAGAAACAGGAAAATGGCAACAATAAACACAACTGAAACAGGCACCGATGAGCCAGGTGTGGATCAGATCCCAGACCAGTACCTTAAGTAAAGACAAGTGACTTGTTCTTACCCACAGTCAGGCGCCGGGCACCATCGGCAGTCTGGGTCAGAGGCGAGGCACCTCCGCAGCAGGAACTCCTCGTATTTCTCCAGCAGGGCCGCATCATCCAAGATGTCCGCCACCTGCCGCGGGTCCAGTCTCTCAGCGCACTCGGGGCAGCTGAGCTGGACTCGGCTCTCTGTGATTTCAATACGGAGGTACTGGCGCAGGCAGCAGAGGCAGGAGGGGTTCAGCAGCTCAGGAAGCTGGTCGGCAGGCTGGCGCACCAGGCACAGGGGGCACTCCAGGAAGTTGGACTCCCCAGAGGAAGGGGCTCCACCCAGGGATGTCTGACTGGAGGAGAGTGGCTTCGATAGGGTGGTGGGAGCAGCATCCTGGGGGGCTGTGGTTGTTGTGGGTGTAGCAGAGGCTGCGGTGGGAGCTGAGCTCAAGGCAGAAGAGAGAAGCTGTTGTGTGTTTTGATGTTGGTGTTGATGGGATAAAGGGGTGGCCGCTCCGCCTTTAGGGGCCCTGCTGCTCCGAGAGCCCCGTTTGCTGCGGAAAAGGCTGTGGAAGGAGATGCGGCCCTGGCGCTTGCCTGCGGCGCGGCACTTGGGGTTGGGGACACCGCTCACTGAAGAATGAGGTGACTCTGAGTCCTTTTCAGATCCCATTTTACCCGAAGAGACACACAGGGCAATTACTGTCCCCTGATATCACAGAAGGCTAGTGAGTGACACAAACACACACTCTCTTACACACAAGGGTGGATTTGTCCTCCTGTGAAAGCCAAACTGGAAAGCAAACCCTGCTCTTCTCTTTATAAGAAGCAAAGCGTTATCAGGAAAAGACAGAGTGAGATAACACAGAGGCAAAAACAGAAAATGAAAGAGATTGTGCAATGTCAAAGAGAAAAAAAATCCCCTTCAGCTCCCAGAGATCCTCTCAAACTTGACAGTCAATAGGTTCAAAAAGAAGCAAAAGTACCAGGTCTTTCGTCTTCTAGATATCGAGGTCAAACGTCACTGTGATTCTCAAAAAAAAGGCTTAATGCCTGTTTCGGTGAATGACTCATTGAAACCAGGGAGGGTAAAAACCAGTAACAGAAGAATCCACAGAGCAGAGGTCAGCCTGAATGTTGTAATAATTCCTCAGTTTGGATTTAATTCTCTTCAGCTGTATTCGGAGGCTCTCCTCTGCTCGTCCTCCTCTCGTTCTTGTTGAACGCCGGCTTCTCTGAACACTCTTTTCTGTCAGGAAGAGGAGAGCAGGAAGTTAGTACAAAGAGCATGCTCAGTATGACACACACCTCCCTTCCTCCCTCTGTTCTGTCTGCCTCTCTCTGCCTCTGCTTTGCTGTTGCTGGACTCCGATTCGATCCTTAACGCTTGTGACCCTGAGCTGATCGTCTATCTGTGCTAATTACATCTAAATACACAGACACACACATTAATGCAACAAATATTACACCATACATGTGTGGGTCAAGTACTGATAACCACAAGGTTAAATAGAATAAAACTGCATTAAGAGACACATTAAATCATCGATTAAATACGTGACATCAACCAGTCTGACCAATCGTGTATTCATGTGAAACCAGTCTCTATCTCTTTGCATCACGCTGAGCACCGCAAGCTCTTCCTCCACCTCACACTGCGCTGCTAGTGCCGTTACCATGGTGACACTCACCATGAGCAAGGCAAACAGCGACCCACTCTGCGACTCCTGTACTCACACACTCACACACACAGAGTTGAGTTGGTAAATGAATACATACTGATGTAACTATGCAGCCGAAAAATGCACAAACACACAGTTGAGCACAGATCAGTAAACACACACTGACACATATGTAAATATGCACTTCCAAAATGGACACACACACACACACACACAGGAAAACAATCTAAAAACTATTCAGTAATAAACAATTTTAGATGCAAAAACACAAAGAATCAAACTGACGTGAAAACACACACTTATGCAAAAAGACGCTCAAACCTGAGTGAACACACACATCAACTAAAAATCTTAATCACACAGACACACACACACACACACACACCCAAGAACATTCACTCATGCACTGCACTAATACTGAGGTATTTTGAGTATTTTCTTATTCTGCTACTTCATATTTTAATTGCACTACATTTCAGAGACAACTGTTGTACTTTTTACTGCACTACAGGTGTTTGATAACTTTAGTTCCTTTACAAATTACAGTATAATTGAGCCTGGTAGGAATTTTACAAGCCACCCAGCAGTGTGTAAAGTAATTTAAATTAAAAGTATATTGGTACTTAACAATAGCACAAGCACACTCAACAAGCTCACACTAGTCCTTACACTATAGGCGTTACACTGTTGGATGCAAAAACACACACAATAAAAACAAAAATAAAAGCACATCTCTGAATGAACACACAATAATACACACTATAAAAATGGATGCAAGCAAACACGCACACACACAAGCAGACAGTACAAACATGTGTACAGTCATAAACAGGTACATATTCCTATACACACACACACATTTCCCAATCATGAAATACACACAATAAACATAAAAACACTAACACACTGACTGAAAATCACCACCCACACACACACACTCCACATATATGCACACACATAACAAAAGTGAAAAGTGATAATTACCTACGCACAAGCACACACACACAGCTGAGATTAAACTGGTACATGAATACACACTGATACTGATGCACAAACACACACTATCAAACTGACATGCACACACTCCCACACAGAAACATTCAAACCTGTAAAAAAAAAAAAAAAATACACATGCTGAATATCGCCACACACACACACACTCCATGTGCACAAACACATCTTTGAGCTCACACACAGGCACATAGGTGAAAGTGATAATTATGTACGCACAACCGCACACGTACGCATGATAATCACAGCCTGTGTCCTCCATACAATTACAGGCTGTGGGAGCTGTGTTAAGGAGTGCGACTAGAAGACACTCGAAGCTGCCGGTGTTATTTAGCTGCACGTTGCGTTTTGATTCTACACGTATTTCTGTTGTGCGTGAATCTGTCACGTTTAAGACAATGCATCATCATCATCATCCTCATCAAGCTACAACAAGGTGTGGTTTCAAAGGCTGCGTTCACATCACAGCTGAAGTGGCTCCAAATCCAATTCTGGCCTGATCATTTCAGAGAAGTGTGAACAAACCAAACCAGATGTTCTCATATCATGGTAAGCAGTAGGTGGACTGCACGCACATGGCACTTCTCTGCCCAACCTGGACAAAGTAGTAGGTGGACTGCACACACGGCACTTCTCTGCCCAACCTGGACAAAGCGCTTTACAGATTCACCCATTCACACACATGCACACACACCGATGGCGGCAGAGCTGCCATGTAACAAACTGGACGGGCCACTGGGGAGAACAGGAATCGAACCACCAACCCGGTGATCAGGGCTCAACTTTAGATATTCATCAGATCTGGGCCACTTCCATATGTGCTCCTAGATCTGACCTCTGCCTATGCAGGCACTGTCAGGTCAGATCATGTGCTTTTTTAACACCCTCCTTCCTCTGCACATACGACCTGTCATCTTCATCCAGTGTCGGCCCCTCACGAACCAGTAACAATAAACATGGAGGAGAGCAACAACAGTGACGGGGTCAGTAGGAACTCTGTTGTTCACAGAAAAAAAATTCAAAAAGGACCTGATTTGGCAAAAAGGTGGTGCAGAGCATAAAGGCCACTGACGTGACTGTAGCCAGTGTTGTCACAGAGCAGGAACCTAAACAGTGGTGGAAATGTCTTGTGACATTATAGATGATAGAATCAATACTAAACTGATTTAAAACACTCTGAGGCACAGACACAGTCCCACAGCATTGCAGATGTTTTCTGGTTTTCCCCCTCTGACCAGCAAATAACTGACTGGCTTAGTGTTTGCCAATCTGATTACTATGCCCACCAGTCTAAAGGCCACACACACACACACACACACAGGGTAGAGCTGACCCAGGAAATGTCAGACCATTCATGAGACAGTAACCTGTTTGTGTGGGGAGTGTAAGGGGAGGATTTACATGACTGACAGATCAGATGACCAGTCACCGAGCAGCAGGCTGACAGAGGGGCGGGGTCAGTCGACTGTTATCATTACCAGGCTAAAAGGAAACAGGCAACACAAAGCTGATTATAGGGGTTTTTGGGATATTTTAAAAGCTTTTCAGAAAGAATAATGTTTTGTCCTTTGCTATTTTGTTGATGTCATCAGAATAATGTGAAAGACAAATAATCACATTAAACAAATCTGACAAACATTATTATTAGGCCTTATTATTATTATTATTGTTGTGCTTGTTTGTTTTTATTTTTAGGCCTCGTTTCTAAAGGGAGAGAGAGACAGAACAAACATTATATACTTCCATGTGACATTTAGGTCCAACTAGAGCGTCCAGATTGTCATCTTCCCTAATTAAAGCACATAATCCAGGTGTAGATCCACCCAAGATGCACGCATACACTGGAAGATATGGACGGCCTACAGTACTGTGCCAACACACCGCAGGCTGCAGGAAGAGGAAGGAAAGACACTTCTGATCTGTCAGACAGCAATAAAACAGGAGGAGGATTTTAGAGGAAATGGCAGCACCTTTAGTTTGTGCACACACCTACATACTTCACAAAACATACAGTGGTTAACATGGCAGCACAGAGTATAGAAAGTGTGCAGTATATTTAATCTCCCTCCACACACACAAACACAGATGACTTCTTTTATATACAAGTTAAAGAAAAATCCTAAATAAATGAGTGAAATTTTTTTTTAAAGTTACATTTATAAGGCACATTTTGTCATTTTACTTCAATAAAGGTATAAATCCATACATCTTTGCTTACAAATGTAAAACTGTAAAGTGGAATTGATGAAATAAATGGAATTAAATTCAGTTCACAAAATGTGGAGTTACAACCATGTATATTTCTCAAAGTGTTTACCTGGTGCAAAATGTGCACCAACGGCTGAATAACGATGCTGCTGCTCTAAGAGATAACACAAACAAATAAATCTTTTGAGAGCGTGCAATAGTGAGCGTGCATCTTTGTGTGTGTGTGTGCGCCCATGAGGGCGCACGCTGAGGTCATGCCTTTGTTTGGCAGATGGGTCTGAACAGCCTGAGAGCTTCACAATCTGGATGCGATTTCATATCAACACGCTCACACACACTTTGTTCCACACTTGTCCTCCTACTCTACTGCTGCTCAGTTCACTCACTCACACACACACACACACACACACACACACCTCACTGCACTGGTGAAGCATTTCTCCTATCATTTCACCGGTTGTTTCAGCAGCTCCTTTGGTCTTTGCTCTCCACACTCTCAGCCTGTTCTTTCACTATGTTTTCTGCATTAAAGTTTCAGAAACACGTGCCGCTGGGTTTCACATGCACCAGCGCAGCATCTTCACAGGCTGGGCTCCGTTTGTCACGGTGCAGTAAAAAGCCACGAACCCGTCACTGTGCTCTCCAGAGTCGGCTGGTCTTCTCTTTCTGGACGCCATTTGAGTCATTGATATATTTTTATTTATAAAGCTATTTTAGATCAACCGCCATCACACATTTGTAAACTTATTTCAAGGAGCTCATTTTCCAGTCACAGTCTAAGGTCTGAACATAGCTGTTTGTTCCAAGTGTTCAGAGGGAGACACGTCTTCTGCTCCCGCCACCTGAACAGGCTGCAGAGGGAATGAACAGAATTTAAACTGCTTGTTTTTTTTTATTCTTGACACTGCTACTGTGTTATAGTTTCCTGTGTTCTTAGCTTTTACAGTATGTTGTCGCCTGTTCTAGTGTTGTATGTTTCTTTTTGTCTTGAGGTTGTGACGCTGCAGTCTTGACGGGGCTTCCTTCTAAAATAGCTAACCTCTAACTTACCGTTCCATTATTGTCACTACTTTTCAGACTGTAAAAAAAGCTAAATCAAAAGTGTGTTGTATTCATTTAATCCAACACACTGATGTAACATTATGCAACAAACTCTGCAGCCTCTATAGGGCGCTGCTGGGGCTTTAAATGTTCTCTTTTTGGGCTGCTCTAACCGTAGCCGTCAGTGTTTCAGGGCTCCTGTAATGAAACCTTACAGTTCAATCTCACACTTATAATGAGTTTCCTGAGTCAGAGAGTGAGAGAGAGGTGTGTTCCGTGGGTAATCTGGACTCAGCACTTCTCAGAC